TATAATATATACAGTATGGTTCAAATGAAAGGAATAAATTCATTATAATGGAAGTAGCTGGTTTTTCGAAAAAATGCTCGGACAGGTCAATTTTGTTTACTCAAAGCGCAATTTTTTAAATAGAATTAAATTTTCCCCCATTTCCCATTTTTGGGCAGTGACGTCATTGGCAATTTTTTTAAATAGCAACCCCAATTTTTTTTCTTGATTTTGATAGATCTTGCAATTTCCTACTCGAAAACATAATATTTGAAATATCTGACATAACAATTTTTTTTGAAAAAGTAATTTAAAGATCAGATACATAAATTTTATGTTATTTTGAAACACAATAAATGAATAAAAGATAATTATTTGTAATTAAATGCTTAATCTAAGAAAATAATAATAAAAATAATAATAAAAAGAATTTGTGAAATTGTCATTAAATTATTTTTATTATTATTATTATTTTTTTTTTAGATTAAGCACTTAATTACAAGTAATTATCTTTTATTATTTTATTGTGTTTTAAAATAACATAAAATTTATGTATCTGATCTTTAAATGACTTTTTTTCAAAAAAAATTGTTATGTCAGATATTTCAAATATTATGTTTCCGAGTAGGAAATTGCAAGATCTATCAAAATCAAGAAAAAAAAATTGGGGTTGCTATTTAAAAAAATTGTCAATGACGTCACTGCCCAAAAATGGGAAGTGGGGGAAAATTTGTGGTAGGATTAGAGTGGTTTTTACCCTTCCATAATTTCAGTTGGTGTAATTTTTGCTTTGAACAATGGCTCTTCAATTAAAATAGCTACACACCAAATTTTATAAAAATCGAACGAAGCGTTTTTGTGTTATTAAAAAAAATTGAAAATTTTCTTTTAACTTTGAAGCTTCCTCACAGGCAAACGATGGACTTTGTGATGTAGGTAATTTTGGCTCAATCGACTTATTTTGATCTCATCAACATACAGTAGATCTATGTACACGGAATTTTGGGACACCCTGTAAGTTCAAGTTGTTTGAAATAAAATGTGAAAATATTGAACTTAATATTTATGTATAATTAATTTATTAAATAATGAATTAATAATTTATTTTATTCACTATTAACATTGAAAAACTTTTATTGGAACATCCTGTATTTGAAACTTTCAATTATCGATAATTAAACACAAACAATGACTTTTTCAAAAAACAATTCCCTTTCAAACTTTGTGTACGCTACATTTAATTCGATGCCTCCGACAAAATGTCGAGAACAATCGGAAATGGTAATAAATGCAAATTTGCTTGATTTGAGTGCATGCCGTGCATTCAGAGATTCATTTTGGTTTTTTTATTTTATTTGATTTTCATGAAAATTTAGAGAGACCAGACACTGCTGACTCTACCAATTGAAGGGGAAAATTCCAATTGTCAGATTTATGATAATTTTTTTTATTTTATGTTGACAATAGAATATTCAACAAATCTCGTTAGGTTAATTACAATACAGGGTGTTTCATTGGGAAAGAGAAATATTTTTATCCTCTATGAAGGTCAACCTGGGGATCACAAAAAAACCATATAGTATGAGTCTTGCGACCTTTATAACAATTTTAAAAAATGTGGAATTTTTTAAAATACCCTGTAACTTTTTTTATAAACAAAGAAATACAAAACTGTCAAATATACCCCAAGATATCGATGAATATTCTGAAATAACTATTTCAACAGGTGCAGGCAGTTAAAAATTTACATTTTGACATTGTATTGTTTCAATTGTAAATCAAAAATCCCTTATTTTTTGGTTAAACTGAATAACTTTCTTTACTAAATTGTTCGAAGCATTTTTCAAAATGGAGACACTGAATTCAAAAAAGAGATACCAATTCTTATGTCATTGCATTCTCTGGTCTCCAGGTTTAAAAGTGTTGACTGAGATTTTAAATATCTATGTGGTTATATTAGGATTCACCGCAAAAAGCAGTTCACGTTCAGATCTAATTATTACCACTAAATTATAACAATACGAAGTTTCAAATGTCTGATGTACAATCTCTGGCAGCCAGTTTTGCTCGAAGTGGAGAAAGCTGGCAAAAAACATACAAACAAAATAGTCTTATTTTAATAGAAAGTATGTCTCCGTTGGTTTTTATGACTTCATCAACACGTTTTTGTAAATTATCAACAAGTTTCTAAGAGTTTTATGATACTATTTTTTTGTGTCAATACCAAATATAGTTAAACTATATACAACTTGTTGACTCTGGCAAAACGTATAAAAAAAGAGAACATTTCTTATTGAAATAATTTAAGTTTAATATAATTTTCGTGACTAATAAATTATTTTTTTAAATTATTATTTATCTTCCAATTACTTTGCACAGTATTATAGCTTATTCTTTAACTTCAAATAAAGTTTTTCATCGTAATAAAGATTAGTTTCCAGACAAACCGCAACTTTAATCAGTAAAAAAAACAAATTCGGTTTTCAATTGTTTAGATACGAATCGTAAACGTCTGAAACAACTACCTCTTCAGTTTGTCTTTGGTCAGATTTTCGTGTCGCCAATCAGCTTTCCTTTAATTACGAACGCCCGCCCGAAAGACCACAATTAACTTGGAGTTTACAACCCCGCACAAGACGATAAGGCGTATCTTCGGTCCACACAAACTACTACAATGCGACGGGTGCCTACGAGGGACGTTTGCCGATAATGCTGAATGTCAATAGCATGACCCTTTGGGAAACGCGTAATCTATAAAGTCATTTAAATATTATTCTCTAGCTGACAGGTACTGTAGTATGTAGTCTGCCACTGTGTGTAGTCAACGTTAAACATGCATTAAATGTTCTTATTGGTTAAACAGAACAGAAATGTACAACGTAGTTTTATAAAGTAAAGGTTCTCATTTAAGATTGATGAAATTTTGTTACAGTGAGAGAGCAGGTTGATTAAGAAGTGTTTAAGTGATTAGGTGATTAACAGGGCTTGGAAAATATGCACTTAAAAATGGTCTAAATATCAAGAAAAGGAGTTTGAGTATGAAATTTAGATGGCGCAACTCATTTACTTTAAAAAAGGTACTCTTGATAAGACTCGATTACTCTCATGGTTTTGACGAAATTTGCATTTTAGTAATTTTAGAACATAAACAATAATTATTAAAATACAAACTTTGTCAAAACCATGAGAGTAAATCGAGTGTCATCAAGGGTACTTTTTTGTAGTAAATGAGTAACCAATCCAAATTTCATAATCAAACCCCCTTTCTTCCATTGGCGTAGAATGTTTAAAGGTGCAATTATTTAAAAAATCAAGTTCTACGCCTATGTATTATTATCGGACAAAATTTTAATACCATTTTTTTGCCACATAAAACTCTACCAATATACCAAATTTCAGCAAAATCGCATATACCGTTTTAAATTTATATGGGAAAAACGATTTAAAAATTGTAACTTCAAGGCCTTCTGGAGCCCCCCTCTGGAGCCCAAACGAAGCAACTTTGTACTAAGGTAATTTTACTTAAATCGACTTATTTTGGTCTAAGGAATATGTGGTATGTTTTTGTAAAGACCTTTTACAGACACCCTGTATATTGAATCATACGCAAACACCTCAAAAAACAGCAAATTTCCGTGTAACTTTGAAATATGTAATACTTATTAAATGACACGAGAACACGAACTTATTCTATATTTAGTAACTTAATACTCACGTTTATCGTTTGCAACCTCAACAATAACAATATGAAATATCGTGTCGGTAACGCGAATGCAAATACAGTCACATTCAATTCAGTGCAAGACAAATTTATTAGACGGGAAAATACTGACAAATAAATAATAATTTTTAACTCTAGAAAAATACCTTGTTTTAAAGATGTTTTTATTATTTTTTGAAAGTCAAGAAAATTTCATTAAAAAAAATGTTCACTGTTCTTTTATTTATATATTTATAACTTTACAGATTTCAAAGTTTTCCAATCAAAATATACTTTAATAATATCCCGGTAGCAATACGTTTTAAAAATATAGATCAAATCTCTATCAAGAGAATTGCGGATAACAGCAAGATATGAAGTTGACGTTCCTCCCTTTTTTAAGACTGAAATTTATGAGTTTCAAAGTTTTCCAATCAAAATTCGGTTTAAGAGAAACTAAATTTAACAATGGAGAGATCCACTATTGTTGGAAATCCTCAATTCCGGCATAACTTTGATAACTAAGTTTATATTCGAAGAACAGGGGTATCTGGTTATATATAAAGTATTTAGAAAAGGAAAAGTTTCTAGGAATACGAGTATGATATTAGGAAATGAAAAATAAATAAAGATGTTAGAAATGTTTGATGTTTAACTCGGTTTTTTCTTCTGTCATCTTCAGACTTCGTCTTTATTTATATTGTGACTATGGCTGTTAAATATAGGGGTTCTGCGTCTTTTACATTTACATGCACTTCGGCCACCTGCATTACCTGCCCTGTCACCCTGTCACCTGAGAAAAAGATGCCAGGATGAGACTTTTATGAACTAAAAATATTGAATAAGGACGCCATTTTTAGTCCAAAATTTTTCTAATAATGGATTACACACAAAATGCAACCCAATTTTCATTTATAACTATTTCGGGGGTCTAAGCCTTTTAGTATTTTGCGATTGAACGATTTGATAGGAAAATGTTTTGGTGTCTAGAAAATAAAAGCACCCAGCGAGATAATATAGTAAAATGTAAACGCGCTATCATTGGCTGAAATTTCCTTTAGCAACACCATATTATTTTCCAAAAAAATATTTCTTTGATTCAATTAAATAAACATATTTACTTTAGGCAAACAAATATTTTTAAAATTAATAAATTTAATGCTTGTAATAAACAATTGTGAATGCAAATTTAAAACAAATTGATATTTCTAGCCACAAAAAATTTGTTTTTAACATAATCAAGCAATGTTTGATTCAGAATGTATTTCACTAGACGATTCTAACCTATATTCGTAGTTGATTGTATTTTATATTGTTACAGTGTGAACCAGGTCTTGGGGCGAGCGTCATGTACAATCTTCTCTACAACCAACCAACCAAACTAATGCTATTGGCAGGATGTAGTACCGTTTGTACTACCGTAGCGGAGGCAGCTAAAATGTGGAATCTTGTAGTGGTAAGTTTTAGTAGATTTATTTTGAGAGTACATTTATAACCTATTAAATGTACCAATATTATATTCCGTATCAATAACATAACTATGTAAATCAATAAAATGCGCTACTAGCTATCAAACATTTACATGGGCTGCATTAAACATCTGCAAAAATAAATAAATAAATTAGTACTTATTAGATTTATTAGGATAGCAAGATGTCTTTTGGAAGTGGTTTAGGTAAGAAAAGAGAGACAAAGTAAGACAGAGAAGAAGAAAGGAGGAAAATGAAGGATTTCGATAAAATTTAGTCCACTCGGAAACTGGTAACAATAGTAATCTAATGATCTGTTCAATAAATAAAAGAAATGAACAGAAATTAAATTCTTAAACCAGATTTATTTTTACTCTGCTTACAATTCTATTAAATTTTCATGTATATTTTCACTTTATCACTTGATGTTGCTCGTTAGTCTCGAAGGAAGTCAGTGACACTAAAATAGTTCCTTTTCGTGGTGATCCCTACTGTATACACTCGAAAAATCTTCCTATCTCTTCAATAATGCCCTTTATGTCCCTTTTCCACCTACTTCAACAAACTGATATCATGTCGTTTTATATGTTCATGAAACGATCATTTTGTATTCGTTTTAAATTCAAGTTATGGTTAAAAATCCCTATTTGTAATACGTTTCGCAAATAAAACACAATTTAATAACGGACAGTAATTGATAAAAAAACGCAAAGCCGGATTCATATTCATATTCCTGTGTAACATCGGTTTGGTAATCCCCCAGCTCTCGGTTTCATGTTGACGCAAACATAATTAACTCCACATTAACTGTTAGGATTCAATTCCAACGTAACGTGTATATAATGACGGAGGCTTGGAGTTATCAAAAGAGACTTTGTATCTAATACTGCAGTTTGTGTGTGGTGATGTAGATAATAATGTCATGTACTCGTACATCAAGGTATATAAGTTGGTTAAGATTGGCCTCTCTCATCCACTCGCATCTGCATAATTAATAACGTTGTAAACTCAAACTGTGGTTAGATAAATTACCCTCCAGCACCGAGAGTATATTTTATATTGTCGCAATGGGTTTAGAAAATTTTAAACTGGGCTTTATACAGAAAATATGATAATTTAAAATAAAATTAATAATATGCAAGTCAAATTAAATGTTAAAAAAAAACACATTTAATTATTTTATAGAATTTATTATAAAGTAAATACAATAAAATTTCCAATGAACGTCATAAACTCATGAAAGTAGACGTTGCCACGTTGCTACAAAATTCGAGGATTTTAAGAATTTTTTTATTAAAAACTAATGTATAATTTGAACTTAATTTTTGACACTTTAAATAATTAATATATACAATTTTAGAAGCTTTTGGAGGTAGTTTTTTTATATAAACAAATAGAATAGAAATAAAAATAAGTAAAGCTTTATTCAGAATCAGAATCAATAATTACAGGTAAAATATCCTCCCATTCAAATATATCTTTATGGTCCCAATATAATTTTTTTAGTATAAAGCATCAATAAAAAACACAGTTGGTTTCGAGAGGCAGAACAACTGAACAAACACCTAATCAGTAGTATTAAACAAAATAAGATTACCTGTTGGAATTGTAGCAGAACACATGCATTAAAACAAAACAAAAATTTCCAGCATATGGTGCCACATGAGATTCTTATGGAAAACCTCAAAATTGGTGACAGGAGGCAGAATCTTGCCGAACACCCAATATCTTTAACCCCGAGCCACCACTATACAGAACAGTAGCTATACTTATTATGGAATAGAAATACCAGAATATTAATTAAGCTGTCTTCTTATTATAACTTCACCTAAATTTCATAATAAAGGAACAAGTACCACATTTTCAGAGTGAAAATAAACGTAATTTTGGTAGTCAGCAGTAATAATATATCAGTGAAAAACAATTTAGATTGAAGAAATTTACTGTACGCTATATTATCCCATTTTAGAACCCTATTCTAGTCTTAATAGTCGTATAAGGTATAATTAAAGTTAGATAAGTATCAGAGTAGTAATGTATGTATGTACTCGTACTTGGATGGAGAAAAATCAATTCTTAGACCTTGTTCTTCTACACTACTATATTTAGCATCATCTGTGCAATTTATGCTTACAAAAGATAAGGTATTGTATTAGTAGAAACATATTTGCATAAATTTAACAAATATAAGAAAGAGCAATTTTTTAATTTGATATTTTAAAATTTATAATATAGCACTTGTCTCTAATTTACAATATCGTCATGTACGCGACAGTGATGACGTTATTAGCATATCCAATTGTAGCGTAAGAGGCGCAGGTAAAAATAAAAATTGACCTGTATGTCGGACAGAAAAATATAATAGAAGGAAAAAAAAAAAACTGTAGATACCTACAACAGGGAAAAGTATCATGGAATGCCATGATGAAAGCAATTAATATATTTTTCTTTATTCGAAGTTTAATATTTTAATAAAAATCGTAAATATAATTGTTTAGTTTTATTATTATTTAAAAAAATTATTCAGTTTCCCTGGCTATAAAGACTTTTTAAGATTTTCATATTTATTACGTTCTGAGTTCTGAGAAAATTAAAATTGATAGAAGCACCGCATTACTAAAACTATTGGCATGGAAGTAAAATAGAAAAGAAGACGCAATCACGTGGTCAAAAGTGTCACCACGTTTGCCAGATTTTAATGTATTGTTTACCCTCACTATAATTATATACGTATATATAAACTATTCGTCTCAAAAACATTAAAAGAACAATGTGCCGAGCAAAAATAGGTACTCAATTTTTAAAGAACATTAATTTTTTTTTATTTTTTTAAAATTTGTGTTAACTATTGCAGTAACTACTATTTTATTTAGTTTTAATTTACAATTTCCTTTACAATAGTTTTGAATTAAAAACATGCATTGTTATATTAACGCGAAAATTATTTTGCCGTAATTATTACCCGATATAATTATTAATTAACTTTATCCATAAATAATATTATATTTAAAATTAGGTGGAAAATCATATTTGATGTAATACTCATTAAAATTTACGTTGTTATCAGAATAAATGCATCATTATTTTACTGGCTCTGCATCATTTCTGTCCATTTATTAACAAATAATAAGGGTTCATTTAATTATGCTATTTGTTGAAACAAATCGATTCGAAAATTACATTTATTTCGGTATAAATAGAATTTTTTCGATCAAAATGTTTTGCTCTAAAAATGGAATGCACTCATACAGTATGAACAAATTTTCTGATTTTACATTAGCTCAGGCTTAGGCGACTTAGGTTTGTAGAATTGGCGTTATTTGTTTGCTTGGAACAGAAAAATTAGAAATTGTAATTTCTAGGGTTTCAATAGGCTTTTTATTTGTATTAAATCGTTATATGATATTTGTATAACAGTTATCTTAGGCTTAAGGAACCTAGAGTTTTGTTGTTGAATTGGCGTTAGGCATTTGTTCATCCGAAATAGAAAAATCATAAATTGTAATTTCTAAGGTTTCAATAGGCTTTTTCTTTAAACAAAATCGTTATGTGACATTTATATAACAATCAGCTTAGGCTTAAGTGACCTAGATTTATTTGTTGAATTGACGTTTGACATTTGTATGTTTAAAACAAAAAAAAAACACAGAAATTGTAAATTTCTAGGGTTTCAATAGGCTTTTTCTTTGTATTAAATCGTTATGTGACATTTATATAACAGTTAGCTTAGGCTTAAGGAATCTAGAGTTTTGTTGTTGAATTGGCGTTAGACTTTTGTGTGTCTAAAACAGAAAAATCAGAAATTCTAATTTCTAGAGTTTCAGTAGGCTTTTTCTTTAAATAAAATCGTTATGTGACATTTTTATAATAAACAGCTTAGGCTGAAACGAACTAGATTTTTTGTTGAATTAGCGTTAGACATTTGTTTAAAACAGAAAAATTAGAAATTGTAATTTCGAGGGTTTCATTAGGCTTTTTCTTTGTATTAAATCAATATGGAACATTTATATAACAGTTAGCTTAGGCTTAAGGGACCTAGATTTTTTGTTAAATGGCGTTGAGACTTTTGTTTGTATAAAACAGAAAATTCAGAAATTGTAATTTTTAGGGTTTCAATAGGCTTTTTCTTTTAATAAAATCGTAATGTGACATTTATATATCAGCTTAGGCCTGAACGACCTAGATTTTTTTATTTAATTGGCATTAGACATTTGTTCGTTTGAGACAGAAAAATCAGAAATTATAATTTCTAGGGTTTAAATAGGCTTTTTCTTTAAATAAAATAGTTATGTGACATTTATATAACAATCAGCTTAGACTTAAAAGATCTAGATTTTTTGTTGAATTGGCGTTTGACTTTTGTTTGTTTGAGACAGTAAAATTAGAAATTGTAATTTCTATGGTCTAGGTTTTTCTTTGAAATAAATCATTTTGTTACATTTATATAACAAATATACTTCTATTTCGTATAATTTATGTTCAAATTATTTAATTGTGATAATAGGTAGTTGTATTTTGCATATGAGAGTACACTGAAAAAAAAACATTTTTATATTGACCGGTAAAGTATAATATTGAAAATTCAGTTAATGAATTAATCTCATTTTGTATAAATAAGAGAAAATTCCTCTGATTTTATTTAAGTCTAATAATATTTGCCCAATACTTAGTTCCAACTGAAAAATTTACAAATTAGGTTTACCGATTTTATTATAGATGCCATCATCAAATCTTGACGAAATGTATATGGGACCACCCCTAAGGTATCCCATTTCTAACAAAAAAGAATCTTAAAAATCGGACAACGTACTAAAGAATTATCGATGAAAATGCATATTACAAACAGGAGTTTGATGATTTTCTTATTAGCGCCATTAGTAGATCTTGACCAAATTAATATGAAAACACTCCTGAAGTACCCCCTTTTTATCAAAAAAATATTCGTAGAAATCTGACAACGTGGTAAAGAATTATCGCTGAACATACA